TGCGAGATTGGGGTTTTCAAGATTAATCGCTGGGTTGCCCGAAGGCCCGATCTCCATTTCCACATCCGAAGCCACTAGCGTTTTCTTTGTGGAAGCCTCGGATCATTAGCTTTCAGGGCATGCCATAATGATGTCATATGTACCTTACACGGGTCCTAGGGTTCTACGAGGGAAGGAATGAGAGGTCCGTGGGTATGCGTACTGCCGAACCCTTTGCGGGACCGGTCCGTGCTTTGGCCTTGCCGGACGATTGTATGTGTGTCTCGGCAGCACCCAGGACAGACTCGAAAGCCAGCGTGTTCCGGGTTGACAGCTCATACTTTCGTCAACATGTTTGCTTTGAGCGCAGGCACCAGCCTCAGTACGTGCACGGACCCCAGAGTTGGCAGGTCCCAAGGTCCAAGCCCATGTATGAAGGTCGCACAAAACCTCCTAGAGGTCCATACTAAAAGTTACTAGGAGAACTGTACCTGACCCTCATGCATATAACATGAATGAAAGCAGCCAAGCCAGGAACGGAAGGGGAAGTTGGACTTTGCTCGTGCTCTGCAGTCATGACCTGCCAACGTGTGGCCATGAAGGGGAACATTCCAACCAAAAGCTGCAGCTGAAGGGGGCAGTCTAGAGTCATCGTCAAAAGAAACCTTGATGTCTGAATCCATTACGGACTTTCAAAATTGAAGTGGTTGAAGGTTCAAGGTGGGATTCCTTACTTGTGGAATCCGAGCAGCTGTTTGTCCAGCCCCACCAACAAGTTGCACCGTGAGACTGACCTGGCTAGACACATTTTGCGAAGAGAGCAATGATGTGAGGAAGAACATCGGCTCCTCCGGTGTCCATTCAGAGCAGCGCATTTTTGCACCATATTTCAGCCAAGTAGCTTAAAAGGCTGGAGATGTCTGATTTGGCAGGTGACCCGTGTGAGTTTTGTCTCCGGCTTTGCGCGGGTATGGTATGTGATCTTGCAGATGCACGCTGCAGCCACTGCGCTAGCGTGGACCCCGAAACAAGGCAGGACTCAGGGTACACATACCATTTTACTATAGGATGAGCCCTTTCACAGAAAGGGAAAATTTCCCTCGAAGAAACGACGCGGCTGTCCCATAGACGTCAAAAATACTGACTTCCACAGGCGCCGACTCTGCCATGAAATGTACGACAAGGCCTTTAGGCAGACACATGCCATTAGATGCTGGCAATCGAGCCCCACATTTGCAAAGAATCACTGATCACTGTACACTTGCTGTATGGCCAACACACTGATGTTGTTGTTGCAATTGGCAGAAAAAACTGTATGGGTAGTGCTTGGAAGTGCTGATTTCTGTGGAGGAGCCATGAAAAGTCTGAGCCGCTGGATCACTCAGCCAGCCTCTGCAACGGCAGGCGCATGCCAAAGAGCGTCTAAAATTAAACTTGGACTAGGCTTGATATGCTACAATCCGTGTCTGGGGCCTGAACATCGGCTTTATGATATGTTGGTTGCTGAGGCTTCGCAGGATTGCTTGAGGTTGGCTCTGCTTTCTGTCGGGCTGAGTAGTCTTTGTGTCTGAAATGTTGTGCACCAGCTTGCAGAGTTGAAGCTAGACATACCAATCCAAGGTGATTGGCATTTGGCAATCATAAGTAGACAGCGCTAGTGACAGTTGTCATGTTGCAAAATGTGCAAGACTGGCATGGACTGGCAAGCTGCTGTAGATGGAACTTGGCCTGTGGCTCTGGAGCTTGTGACATTTAGGGAAATTCAGGGCATCAAGTCTTCATTATTATGGCACTACGGCTACGGGGACGGGCTCTTCTGCCGATCCCGACCAACATCAGCAGCGGGCTGGAGCGCTTGAGTCCAGAGGCGGCAGGAACACTTTTCAGATGTCGATGCGTTTCATTCTGGCTGCCCATCAGAGACTCGGCTTTAAACCCCTGAATGCTCTTGAATTACGCCTAGCCATTTCGGTTTTTGATGGAGCTTGGGGGTTTGCACCTTTAGGGCCCGGTTGTTCAGAACTTGAGTGCCAAGTGTGGTCTATGCCGCCAAAAGATATATTATCTATCGGGGAATGGAAGAACTCGCCCATGGACAACCCCAGCAAATTCGGTGTAGAGTCTCATGCTTCCTAGTTGTGCCCCAGAAGCCCATACACAACGCCTTGCCTTTTGCACCTCTCAGCCTGGCACTCTATCGACCTGGCACCCTGCAGCCCTGCTAGCTCTGATGTATTAAGCTCGACTAGTCTTGCGGGCAGTAGTTCTCACAAAACTTGAGACACTAACAGCGCAAGCGGCCCTTCACAGCTCATGAAGGAGCACATGCTACGGAGTCCGGTTTACACGCACTGCCTATGAAACCCAGAAAAAACTGAGGGCTAACTCCTGGTTTTCCATGAGCGGAGTTGCACAAATCTCAGAGATCTCTGATTTGGGGAATTACTGCTAGTTACTACAAACATACCCCCTCAGCCCGTGTTATAAGATTGCAAGGTAGGGGGCTCAGCACTAACCAAAGGAGAGGAAACAATTGCAGCATTCCAACCCTGAAACCTGGACCTACAGTGCACAGAAAAGAAAGCCCGTCCCAAAGACCATCCAGCTGACCCTGAACATTCCATACCTTCGAAAGCCTCAAGTCTGCAGCTTCCTACTGCAAAAGCGGGCGCACGGTGGCAGCTGCCCAAAATCCTCAAGGAGGCTGGCAAGGCGACTCTTGCCTGTCTGTAAAGTCACCTCTGCGCGAGGCTCTGTGATTTAGAAGGGGCTGGGCTTCACTGCGACACCTGCGCATTGGCCATCTGAAGTTTTGGTAAGTTCAGCCGTGCGATACGTGCAAGGGCCAGAGTTGAGAAGCAGATCTACTTGTGTGGTCCAACATGAGAACTAGCTCTTGCACCGGCTAAAGTGTAGAAACATTGGTGGAAGCAGAGAGCTTCATCGCTTGATCTTTGTGCTAAAGCCTGACTGCCCTTCTCTTTCCCCCAGAACGGATGCATGCGTGATGCTTTAAACGTCTAAGACTAGGACAGGAAGTGGGGCTTCCACTGTTTCGTGAGCTTGCCAAAACCCACACTACAGCTAGTAGACCCTGCACCCACCTCAAAATCAGAACCCTGGCCCAAACCTGCTCGTCGGTAACCAAACACATTAAGGCTAGTCCCGCCTACACAACCACAAATAGAAAAGACACCAGCTCGGCTTGCAATGTAGACCACATAAAGAAAAGTCCAAGCCAGACTGAGGAGGATTGGATTTGCTAGCAAATCGACCCAACTTCGTCTGTATTGCAGTCCTTGGTACGTTCTTCCAGTAACCGCAGGGCTGAGCCAAGAACTCTCCAGAACACGAACATGAGGACCCCTTCAGAAGCTAGCATTGAAATCCAATAGAAGGAAATATGATTTGCAAAGCCCAGACCCCTGAGCCCACAACAGCTAAGCTGTTGGTGTCGCTAGGCTCGATCAAGTTGAACGCCTTTGTTCCAAGAAGATTCAAGCGCTTAAGTAGATCTGATTTCGGAAGTGCGGCACTTAGGCTGATGGATTTGGGGTTGAAGCCGAGTTGGGTGGGCTGAAGCGTGAGTAGTGTCTATGTGCTGGTGTGTGACAGAGTGATGGCTTAAACCAGGACCTCTTTCGCGGCTGTAACATTGCTGTGGAGAATCAATCTTCTCGAGCCAAAGCTCAGCGAACGGATGTTGGGTGATATTCAGTTGCAGCTGATTCCCATGTCGAACGGAAAGGTCAAACGCTTCTGGCTTGATTCCGCCTCAACTTATGCCCAGATGTTTAAGAGTTTTCATTTGTGTTCCCGGCAATTTGGGCAGACCGACATGATTTTCCTCGGATGTGATCAACGGAAGGTTTGGTTTTGGAGCGGTGGCTTCAAGTTAATGTGTCCGGCGTCTTCAAGAGCGATGATACGTGAGAGATTGGAGAAGTCATTTCCTCCACAGCCCGAACACACAGGTCGGTGTGCAGTCAAATCCCACACTCGTATACGAGTCCACTGAAGATGGAAGACCCTCATTTGGAGCAGAGACGTCTCCACACTATCGAAGGTTTGCGCTAATCTGCGACTCCAGCCCAAAGGAGACCCTCTCAAGAACAAAAACTCCTAAGCTCTCTCGAGCTCGCTCACTTGGCCTCTGCTTGCTGCAGCTGAGTGAGGATGTCGCCAACAGCCGTCCGGAGCTTCCTTCGAATTCTGTGTCATTTTATGTGAAGTTAACACCCAGCCCAAAGAGAATACTCTCATCAAGGCTCCCCGTAGGATCTATGTGACGGTCCCAGATAAACGGGCCAGAGCTCCCGCAAACATGGGGCTGTGTTGCGGGCTGTACACAGCTGCCACGATTTCTCCCCTGCTGTCATACATGTCCCAGTGCTTCCTAAACTCAGCTTGTATGCAAGCTGGAGACTTCCAAGTGGAGTTTCTGTGGTCATGCGTGCCTATCAGTTGTTCGCATCTTCCCTGTCACAGCATTGGCCCATGTTGGCCCATTTCATCAGGAGCACTGCCTTTCAAGCCATGCCCTGCGATTGACTCCTTTGTGCAGTACCGCTTTCCCTGTGCTTGGACTATGTAAGTCCTCTATCTGTTAGGGCTACAGCGCGCCATGCTTAATCCTTACTTTGAAGCTGCACACTTTGGCATGCCCCGTGCACGACCTTTTCAACGGCAGCTCTTCAAGCAAGGCGCTGCTTGTGAACGCCTCCACTTGGGCCTCTGGAAATGACGGCGCGGGTGAGGGTCAAGCCTATGCAGTGCAGTTCACCCATGACTTGCCTTCGTCGTATGCTGGGTACGTATCGCTTGCTAAACAAGGCAAAGCATCGCTCCCGTGTTGGGAGCAAGATTGAGACTCGGGTACGGCCGACACTATCATACGACAGGTGGCATCATAAGCCATATCCATAACCAAGCTTAAGCCCATAGTTGCAGCCTTCCTGCTTAGCCAGTCCAGGATTTCTGGACCAGAGGCAGCCTTCATCCCGGTCCAAATCCCAAGCCGGCTACTTCACCATCAATGAATCCATCATCTTCGCCGTCGTTTTCTCTTTCTCCTGAGTCATGCTAGTTCAACGAACATCAGGACCAAGCTCAGGGTTCTAAGCTGTCCTATATCACAGGTCCCCAAGAGCCCCTATGCATGTACGTAACACATTGTGTTTCCACAGAAGGCGCGGATGTCCCTTGCTGCGCTGCCGCCTGAAGTCGCAACGCAGTGATCTACAGTACTATAAGCCGTATAGTCCAGGCGGAAGGGGAAAGAGGTGGTGCAACCACAGGAATCAGCGCTTGCGATCTCAATCGCAAGATTCAGGATTGAGTTTAAATAGTGCTAACCAGTGACCAGCGATGGGCTACTAAATCCTCGAGAGAGAGGGGATGCTCAGGCTCATGTACGCGCACTTTGAACCATGACCTTCTCAGCCCCATATTGTGCAAGAGCATCTTTCCAACATAGGCATTACCCAGGAATAGCAACACAGCCCGAAGGGAAAGGCAGGTGAGTTGCCGCTTGCAGCTCAGCTTGCTGTCGTGCTTTGGACTCCTGGGCTGGTCGGTTGGGTTGAAAGCCAGTGGTGATCATGACTTTGCTTGTCACATCATTATACTTCCCGCCGCCAGTCCCACAGAGAATACAAGTCAAGTTTTCTTGGGCAGGTGATTGCAACTGTTCACACTCAAACCGTGGTAAAGTAAGACTGGGCCTGAACAACAAATAATCGTTGGAGAGTTCAATGTCACTGTTAAACCAGACCGTAGCAAAGTTTTAAAACCATTCCTAACCAAGCAACCAGCTGCATCCTCATGCCACTCAAGCCGTGGCTTTCGCAGATGTCAATAGCCTTAGGGTGAGGGTTCTTCAAACGAGGAGCCAGTGGTGGCGGTTGGCGGTTGACGCGCCGTGACACTTGTCTGCTTAGTTGGACTGTGCTTGGAACATCCGAATCAGAGTTGAAGAAGCTGTTAACCTGCTCCTGCTAGTTAGGCCACAGAACTCTTTCTACATGCCCCCTATAAAGAAGGAACACGAGACCAATCAACGGATCTCACCGCTTATGGCCTACCAGCACTGAATACTCCCAGTCGTGAATGCCCACACTGTATGTCAGCTCAGCTCTCTGATCCGAGTCTGATGAACCCAGGACCCTTGGTAGCAACTCCGCTTCCCAAGCCTTCACCCATCACAGGCACCTAAAGCTGAAACACGCGAGCGGCATCCTCGCCCGCATGGTTCCGTAGCAAGACCTGGGCATAGACTACGGCCCCGAACTCTAGGTGTTTGGCAGTGTGGCTTCATGATTGCAGGGGCACAGAGTTGCACTATCAGATTGATGAGCGTTCATTGTCAGCTCAAGTAACCTCGGAATCAACAATAACTGCAGCTTGCCATATATCATAACCTGAAAGCCATCATTGCAGACTTCCTGTTCGCATCAATAGAATTTCCCCATGCTGCTTCTCAGAAGAAGAAGCCGGCTTAGCAGCAGTACCCATCTTTCAGTCGTGAGGAGCAGGGGCCTGGCCTAGAGCAGTACTGGTAGAACTCTGATCATATATGCACGGCTTTTTACCCGAAATACTTCAAGTGCTGCTCCAGGACCTTAAGCTGCCGCAGGCTATCTGCTGTGGCAACGGAATTCAGGCTCACCACTCAAACCCATTACACTTTTCCCTCGCCAACACATGTCCAGATCAGGAAGGGATCAAACCGCAAGCTGCATCGTCTCAAGAGCTGCCAAGAAGGGCATGATCTTAAAGGAGTTCTGCTCGAAGACCTAAAAAAAAGATTGACTCCGCGCGGCGTCCAAATGAGGGTCGTCAAGGAGCCAGCGTGCGAAGTGCAGCTGCGCAGGGCAAAAGGCAGGGCAGCTGACAATAACCATCCCAAATCAGGGTGATCACATGAATGATGATCCTGTTCTCACATGGTGATGCAAGGTCTAAGGTCTCAACTAGGGGGGACGGTGCAACTTCTGCAGGCACATACACAAGACATGCGTTGCTCTACAAGCGGACGCAGACGTGGGGCTCCGTGTCTGCATTGATTCTGCAGTAGGGTAGCCTTCAAGATGAGGCTCAAAGCAAACTCAGGCTTCTGCATGATTGTGGACCAAGATCCTGTGTGGAGACCTACATGTTATGGGTTATCTAAATATGACGTACCCCTTAGCGCCGGTTCCCCTTCAATCTAGTTTACTGAGGGTGAATGAAAGTGAATGCAAGGGGAACCTACGGGGATAGTATGGGGGGGGGTTTGGAGAACCCCGCCACATCTTGACTCCAGCGCCTGATCCTCGCGGCACGCCATCATCATGGCAGTGTCTCCCACATCGTTCTGGGCATTGACACCTGCGGCATCCTACAGGCCCACGCGCTTGCACCGAAGCTTGAAAGCTTGAAAAGCGGAGCTTCCACCCATTGACCTCCTTTACATATCCATGACGGATTCCAGCACAACCCTACGACAGGCCGAGACAGGATAAGGCATCAAGGGTTGAAAACTGTCAACACATTCCTGAAGTGCTCTAACCTCTCTATCTTTCAGAAACCATCCCTTTGCCGGGAAGCGTTTTTCACTTTCATGGCACATGTTTCTGGAACGTTCACTTGAAGGTAGCCTCCCAATCATTCATTGAGGCAGTCTTGCGGTTTATTGTCAAGTCGAGACATCAAAGCTCTTTCATTCATACTGGTTGGAATTCGTAATCTACACTGGGAGAAGGACTTGCATAGAGCCTTAGGGCGTAAACCTTGGTAAGCAGTCCTCTGTGTTCATACCATTTCCATTTGCCGCCAGCGGCCCCCCACATTTGCATTGATGTTTACCCTTCCCACAAACATGTGCCGGAACAAAAGGGTCGTTAAACATGGATGTGCGAAGTTCTAATGAAAGCAGTAGCAGGTGTCTTCTTTGTGCCAGGCTGCTGCAACCGCGCCGAATCAGCTGCGATCCAACCTGTTTCATGCTGACATTCATATCCAAGCTTATTCAACAGGCTCTTGTTTCAGCAGAGCTGATTAAACTCGGAGGATCCCTTTACTTCATGTACAGGACTCTGTGACTGTGCCAGAATTTCTGCCCGAAGGGGTATACACATGGATGCCTTCAATTGGCAGCGATAAATCAGCATGTGAGAGATCTACAAAACAACAAAGAAAACGGAGCAAAGGGGTCCGGAATCATGCAGAAGGGCAACCTAGACTAGATACCAGAATTGGATCGCCTCAGCTGAAAGCCAAGAATTGCCAAGAGCAATCCACAATCGGCCTTGGTGTCGTTCTTGGCACCGATTGTTATCATCAGCGCTGTAAAGTTTCCATTGGCCACCTCCTTTCACTCGCATTACATGAAGTGATTCACGAGCTTTCATACAATAGAGCGCACCC